CCACCTGCCCATTCCCTCACCTTCGTGTTTCCTTTCAATTCTCTTTCCTCCACACACCCGTTCTACTCTGTACTCAGCCTTTATCATTAGCTGTTTTTATAAATATTGAGTAGATACACAGAAGGTTTATATAGGTGCGAAGTAGAAAGAACATCTATGGATCGATCACTCAGTTTAGGAAAAAGAACCTTACCTTAGCTTGAAGTCCCTGTGCTTCTCCCTAATTCTCTCACATTGCACCCTTCCTCAGAGGAAACCACCAACCTGCATTTCGTGGTTCTCAACAACCTAGAAATAAAGAGTGTCTGCAAAAACCACAGTAATACCCACTGTACCTTTGCTTCGCTTGATAATTTTACCAAGTATGTTTGTATTCCTAAAAGATGTTCGATTTTACATATATTTTATCTTCATTGAAATAAAATCGTATTACTCAGTGATTTTTTTTTCTTCAAGATTGTTTGTGGGAATTGTCCATGGTAGTGCACGTGGCTGAGAACCATTCATTTTTTCAACTATATTCTAAAATATACCACAATTTATTTCTGCTTTAGCTGTATTCTATAAGTTTTGCTATGAAGCGACTTCATTGTTGTTCAATTCTAAGTATTTTTAATATCAGTTATGATTTTTATTAGACCCAGGAGTTATTCAAAAATACATTTTTGTTTTCAAAGAATATGGACAATAACAGTGCTATTCAGTAGAAGTCTAATGTGAGTCACAAGTGTAATATTAACTGTTTAAATTGCCACATTAAAAGTTAAAAAAAAAACAGGCAAAATCAATGTCAATATTTTATTTAATCCAATATATACAAATTATCATTTAAATATGTACTTATCTTTGAAACTTATCATAGACATTTTAGATTTTTTTTGTACCAAGTTTTCACATTATTTTGCAATTACAGCACAGCCTGGTTTGGACTGGTAACACTTTAGGTTCTCAGTGGCTACATGTGGCTAGTAGCTACCATATTAGACTATACAGGTTTATAGTATAACTATTGTTTGAAATTGCTGAAATTTACTTTCTGGTTTATATGTAGTCAGTTCTGTGTGAGCTGGAATATAATTATGTACTTTTCTAGTAAGCGGGCTCAGGGTCCTACTCATGTACTTTAAACTAATCTTATTATTTGTATTGTTTAAATCCTCTAAATTTTTATGTAATTAATTTGTCTGCTCGACCCTGGTTGCTACAGTACACATTGCAGGAGCGCCATTCACATATTGCCTGGAGTTGTGCAGTGTACGCTTCCATAGACTCATCTGGTGGTCTCAGATTGACTTACTGTAACTAAGGGAGCTATGTTGAATTTAGCCACTGCAATGGGGATTTGACAGTTTCTCATTACAGTTCTATAACATTTTGCTTTATATATTTTGAAGCTATTTTACTGAGTGCGTATAAGTTTAGAATATGCATGGCGAATTAACCCATTATCATTATCAACACAGAATGACTTTTGTCTTAAAATCTACTTTGTCTGATATTACTGTAGATGCGTACTTTCTTTTATTTACTACTTCTCTATCTTTAAAAAAATTAATATCTCAAACTCATCTTGAATAATGCAAGGACCTAAGAACACTCGAGCTCTGATAGTTCTCATCCTAACATACATTTAACATTTTTGTCTAGTGTCCTAGTTCCATCCTTTTGTTAGCCTCATTAATTACACAGAGTCAAAACTAGTATTTCATATGGATGATATTATTTACAATTACCTACATGCAGGGCTGGCTACATAATTTTCAGGGCCCAGTGCAAAATGAAAATATATGGCCCCTTGTTCAAAGAGCTGAAGAGAAGCTTTTTCCTCTCCAGGGCCCCACGACTCAGCGCAGGGAGTGCACGTGCTCAACCCCTATACTCCTCAAGCCTCTATCCAGGCTGGGGCCCCCACCCAAAGCAGAGGACTGAAGCAGATGCTGAGCAGGGACAGGGAACAGGGGGTCAAGAACCATGCTAGGGAGTGAGGGAGGTGGCAGGAGGTAGGACTCTGTGTGAGCTGAGGCTCCAAGCCCCTAGCACATGCTCGATTGTCCTATCGGACCTCACTTAACAAAACACATAGTCAAAGACAGAACAATTAAGAATTTCTCAATAGTGAACCCAAAGCATGAAATCCAAAGCACAGGGCCCCCTTCTGAGAATGGGCCCTGTACAACTGTCCTGATCACATGCCCCGGAAGCCCTCCCTGCCTGTGGGTTTGCCAGTTTCTTTGCTCACCATTTCTTCCTGCATGTCTGACCTTCCATCTGAATATATTCCTTCCTAAAAAGCATGTTCTTTGAAGCTCTTTTAGTAAAGGTCCTTTAGCTGGTGGTAAACGTTCGGATTTTAGTTATCTGAGCATATTTTATTTTAGCCTCATTCTTAAAGATAGTTTTGCTGGATATCCAACTTTAAGTGGATGGTTGTTTTCTCTTAGAACATTGAACATATCGTTTTGCTGTCTTTGGCTTCTTTGTTTTTGTTGGAAAATTATAAGCTTTCAGTTTGTTTGGTTCCTTTAAAGACATCTAGTTATTTTTCTCTTCAGCTTCTTTTAAGATCTCTTCAATTTTGATGTTCTTTAGCTCCACTACCATATGCTCAGATTTACTTTTATTTATCTTCCTTGGAATCCACTGAGCTTCTAGATTTGTGGGTTGTTTTTTTATCAATCTAGAATTCTCCTCAGATATCACTTTCTCCCCCTTTCTCTCTCCTTTGCTTCTGAAATGGGAAATAGATATATGTGAGATCTTTTCACTCTATTCTCCTTATATCAACTTCTGTTTTATATTTTCTATATTTTTGACCACCTGTACTGAACTCTGTATAATTTCTTTGAATATTTCTTTCAGTTTATTACTTCATTTTTCAGCTATTAATTATCTGCTACTGGACTGTCCACTGAGTTTTCAATTTCAATGATCATATTTGTCATTTCTACCAGTTCAGTAGAAATGGTTCTTTTTCAAATTTAATTAATCATTTAAATCAATCTTTTTTTTTTTTTTACCATGTTGAACATCCTTACTTTATAGTTAGTACTTTAGAATTTGTGAGTTTAATTATACCATCATTTGTGTCTGCTTATTCTTCTGGTTTTTTAAAAATAGTTTTGTGGTTTTAAAAATTATGATCTCGTAGGTCTTGAATCTTTATCTGTAAAAATTCTTTGAGTCCCAGGTTGAAGATAAGTTTCTCCCAAAAATGTTGGTGTTTTTCCTACCAAGTTTCAATGCTATACTTATTGCTGGGGCTCTTTCTCTCATTTCATTTTTTAACCTTTACTTTGTAATAATTTTTTATTTTCAGAAAAGTCATAAAGATAGTACAGAGGTTATCTTTCCCTTTAGCTCATCCTTCATAATCGTGGCATAACCAGTTTTCTGTAAAAACTAAGACATTAACATTGATGTAATGTAATTAATTAACCTATAGACTTTATTCAGATTTCACAGTTTTCTACTGATATTTTTTTTCTGTTCTTTCACTTGAGTTTTATTCTATACATCTTTCTCACTTTCTGTCCAGCTCATTGATGAATTCAAAGACCTTTTTTTTAAAGAGGAAAATATAATTGTACTTATTTTCAGTAGGAAAGTTGTCAAAGTACCTAGTTCAACATACTTCTGGAAAGAGAAGTCTGGAGAGTTTTGTTTTTTCAATCAGTTTCTCTCAAATGATATTCATAATCCTGGTTATCAAGTCAAACTATCTTCTTATTTTTGTATTCTTAAAGTTTTCTAGGCTAGAAATGTAGGCATTATTTTCATTATGATGAAAACATATTTAATAACATTATGAGTGAGACTGGAATACAGATCAAGACATAGACTGAGTCTATTACATTATCATCTCAGTGAGAGATAAAGCCAAGAATCTTACTGAGGTTGTTGGTAGTGAGAAAGAAGGGAGGAAATAGTTTGACACACACCAAGGAAACAGAAGACACAGAACTTGTTGTTGAATGAATGTGGTAGAACAAGGAGAAGAAAGAGTTGGAGATGACTCAGGAATTTTAAGCCAAAGATTTTGACTGTTAAAGGTTTTCAGAAGTCAAACGGAAAGGCAGAATTGCAGGAGATAATGGTGGATTTGCTTTTTGATGTGTGGAATCTTTGGTGTTGATGGATCATTGGGGTGGAGATGTCCAACAGCAATTATAAATGAGAGTCACAAGTTTCACAAAAAGGATCAGCACTAAAAGGAAGAGGTTGATGATGGAAAGCAAAGGGATTAGAAAGAGGGATAAATAATGGAGAAGAATCATCTACATAGAAAATAAGAAGGGTCATGGTGATTATAGAAGGCGGAAGGATCTCTAACCAACAAGCAAGCTTTTGCCACTACTTGTGATAGTCAAAGGCTTAATTTCTGTGCCCTGTGAAAAGTTCTCAGAAAAGTTCCCATACTTATCTTCACCCAAAGGATCATAAACTAAGCTTTAAGATTATGTAAATTAAAATATTAAAATGTTCTTTGTGTTTTCAATTTTCTAATATGTTTTGTACTATACCACATCTCAGACATTACCCTCTACTTAATTTTGTTTGTTCCTATCAGTATTTGAGATAAGTAAAAGAAAAATAAATCTAGCAGGAACCACAACCGTGTGTTAATTTTATGGCATATCCCAACATATTTTCCTTTTTTTTAAGGAACAAAATATTATCTAGTGTTAGGACGTGGTCATAACCTTTGGAACCACAATGTATAGCATTTTATTATATTTATGGTTCCACTCATGTTGTTACTATTTCATGCAAAAGTAACATTACTTATTATGCAAAAATTAAGCCTGATAAAATACTTACCTTATACGCAGTGTTTGTAAATTGCCATTAACGGATCAAATGATATCTAGTAGCAGTATATATATTGCTAAAAAGAATAAACAGACTAAGTTATAAAATTATATTCTCTGAGCCAAGATATGCAATTTAAAAAGAATGTTAGGGATGAGTCTTGACTCATTTGTCGGGTTTATGGTTTTCAGGGAATTGATGCTGATTTCACATCAGAAAAGCATCGAGCAGCTGCAGGAAACCCTCAGACAGGAGCTGTTGAATGATGATAACTGGAGGGAGAAGGTAACGATAATGTGACTTTCACCAGCATGTGTCTTATTTGCTTTTTAAAAATCCTGTTCATTTTCCGGAAGACTATCCCAAATAGATTTCTTTGCTTCTATGTACACTTTTGATGATTCTTTCTGGAATTTCCTAATCCAAACATGCTTATGACATATGTCTTTTCCAAAATATTAGGCAATATAATGGAAATAAAAAAGGTAAAAACAAAATTTGAAATCTTGTGAGATTAAGAGAGCCCTTAGTTCTCATGTAAACGCGTAATACTTATTTTGAAACGTGTTTACCTTTTTCTCATAAAGTGACAGAATCTGCATTTGAGAAAAGCAGGGTAATATTTCATTCTTATAGTTTCTTAGCTTTTAAGAAGATAATATAAAAGAATAGAAAATTACTTAAAATTATTATGAACTTTTGGCAGTGTAAAATGAATAAATATTTAGCTTGCTATTTACAAAGAAAATGTTTGCTCTTAGAATATGAAAAAATTGCATTGATTTTTGTCTTTGGACTTTTCTATAATTTTAAAGTTTCAACAATGAATACGAATTACTTTATTAATTTTAAAGAATACAAGTATGTAATATTTAAAAATTATTAGCTCCTACCTTCTCAGGCCCTGTTCAACTGTAGTCATTGAGTCTATAGCCATCATCTCCCTGTCATTAACTTGATACTCTTTGACTGATCCCTGGGCCTTATCCTGCACAATACACTAAAACTCTCCCAACTCTTTCTCTTCCCCAACTGGTAGTCATCCCTAACACTAACTGCCTGCATTGGTTTTCTGATTATGTCTTAAATTTGCATCTAGAATTAGAGCTGGCTACTGAAATTCAGATTGCTTTATTGAAGCCCTGACACCCGTTTTGGTTATTATCAGATTCCTCTCCATGGTGACTGGACCCTATAACTTGTAACCTCAAGCAACAAGCAATGGCCTCTTTCAAACCAACATCTCCATTTGAAATTCTCTGCAATATCATCCACCAGATTGAAACACTTTAGGTATTGTTGCTGGCTCAGGTCACTTTCACTTCCACTCTTCACACAGTTGGCCATAGTCAGCCAGTATTGGCCCTCCATAAATCAGTCTCCTTTCCCTTGTCCCTCAGGGACAGCACATTCAGATTGTAACAAAAATTATCACTATAACAACCGTTTCCTATGGGTAACAATTAAAATTCGAGAATATAGACTAAAGTTCCTCTCAGTGTCTCATTGTTATTCTTTAGCATGCACATTTTCTTTTCCTTCCTCTCTAAAACCTATACTTCTTTAATCCTAATTTTTATTAGTCTCGGTGTACTCAATTAGCTAGCCTATTCTTATTTACTTCCCCTATCTTTACTAATACATGTTTAAAAATACAAAAAGATGATCAACCTAACTAGCAATCCAAAAAATGAAAATTAAAACAATGAGATAGCCTCTCATACTTACTCTTTAAAGAAATGGAAATTACAGCAACCTTTTGGAGAGCAGTTTGGCAATATGTATAAAGAGATATTGTAAACATTTCATCTTTGGCTCAGAAATTTCATTGATGAAGTTAACGTGGATAGAGATTTACAGATCCTCCCCTTCCCTTGAATTCCTTAGCTCTTCTTCGACTGATAAAATAAACTTTCCTGCATTTGCTTGCATAGAAATTCCTCATCTCCATGGCCACATCTCATGAAGGACTTTCATGAAGGATAATCTACTGAAGTCTCTGCCTTCATGATCCACTCTAGAACTGCTGCTCACTGTACCCTCCCCTTGAGGTAGAGGCATGGCAAGTAGACCAAGTTAGTGTTGGCATCTGACAATATAAGGGTAATATGTTCTTGCTCTATGCTAAGTTAATTTGATGATGAAAATAAACCTATGTAGGATTTTCTCAGTTCTTACTAAGGCCACAATCTCTTTCTAATAACTTAATTATATCACAGATATATTTTGGAAGGTATATTTTTCTATAATATAAATGGATATTTCATTTTGTTGAGAGGACATGACTTCTTGTTACTAAATCTTATTATTTAGCTTAAAGATCCAGACCAGTAATTCAAGGAATAATAATTATGTCTTGGCTGTGTTAGCTATTGAGACTGTGAATAAAGACTTTCCTAAAAGTTTTCTCATGAAAAAGAAGAATCGCTAATATGACATTGTCATCTCTTTCTTGGGTCACTGTGCCTTTGTGTAGAAATGAAATGTTCCTTTTACAAATATATAATACACATATTAGAATAAACTTTAAAACTTAAATGCTTTTAACGTTCAAAAAGTAGATGGAAATGTGTGCCTATTCTTAATTATTTTAGCGTATATAAAAAGCACATAACAAAATCAATAGTTGCTATGCAACAAGGATTGCACATTTTAAAAATAACTGCATATTTACTAATTGTCATGGATTTTGTTTATTTCAAGTACTGCTTTGAAGAAAGAAAATTAATGTTCATGCTGAACATTAAAATTGTTTCCAAATGCACAATGGTGTTACTATTCAGTCAAAATTTTGTAATTAAAAAATCTCCTCTAGCCAGTATACTTACAATAAGTGAGATGCTTACAATTCTCGATTATCATTTTGTAGTATAATAAAGAAAAAAGAGCCAAATATTTTCTTAGATTATTACTAAGTTATGACATTTAGGAACATTTTAGAATTGTACTGTTGACCTCATTTTAAATAATACATTGAGCTTTTAAAAACCAATAGTTAAAACAAACAGAACTGTACTTCCTGGCTGAGCAACTGTATTGAAAATGTAGGAGAAAACAAGTTTACTTTAATGAATAGTCAGTTCCAGCATTAAAGGGATGTAATAAAACACACAAAAAACCCCTCAAATTATTCTTCAAAATAGAAGTGCCAAATGGACTGATAAGTCCTAATGTATTTTAGTGTAATACCCTTAACTTAGTGCTTTGAAAGAAATTTAAGGCCATAGTGCAGGGAGTGGGTATCCAGGAGTTTGGCAGATTCTCTGAGATGAGGCGACCTTGCTGAGAGTCTAGGGAGATCAAAGTAGCTATAATTTATAGGATAGTGTTCTCAGAGGAGAGCTGTACAGAGAAAGAACACTGGAGATCTACAGAGAGTCCTCAGTAAGTATAAGTATGATCAGTGCATTTTTATGGGGAAACTAGCCAAAGTCAGGGAAAGACCCATTTGAAAGAATTAGAGAGAATACCAAATGTTCCACAATGCCAGTAATAATGCCTGTTCCTGCTAGCCAGTCTGGAAAACCTGTAATTCACAGGTCACTGGGTAGAGTTCTCAGAAGGGTCTTGCATCAGCAGTAGAGAATAGCCCTAGATTAAATGCTGATCTGGTCCAGCCTAACGATTTTAAAAAGAAGACCTAAAAATATCCAGCGGATTCCAATAAACTTAACTGCATCCCAGGACAAAGTTCAAGAATATTTATAAGAATATAAAGTTATTCAGCATCTAACAAAGTAAAATTTACAATGTCTGACATCTAATAAAAAATTGACATGCGTGGAAAGAAACAGTAAAATAGGACTCATAATGAGAAGAAAAATCGATTAATAAAAATTGACTTCAGAGAGGCACAGGTGTTAGAATTAGCAGACAAGGACATTGAAACAAGTCGGATAACTATACTCCATATGTCTAAAAACTAGAGTAAAAGTGGACCATGTTAAGTAGAGATATGAAAAATATAAATAAGATCTAAACTAAACTTCTCGAGATGAAAACTACAATGTCTAAGATAAAAGTACACTGGATGGGATTAACTTCAGACTAAACATTCCAGAAGAAAAGTTTAGCGAACTTGAAGACACACCAATAGAAACTATCTAAATCAAATGAAATAGAAAAGAAACTCAAAACAAATAAACAAAAGGCATCAGTGAGCTGTGAGACAAATTTAGATGGACTAATATATATGTAATTGAAGTCCCAGAAAGACAGGAAAGAGAAGAGGAAACAGAAAAATTTTTGAAGTAATAATGGCTGAAAAAATTAAAATTTAATGAAAACTATAAACCCACACATCCAAGAAGTTCAATAAACCTTAAGCCCACCAAGGGACATTATAATCCAATTGTTCAAAAATAGTGATAAAAATAAAATCTTAAAACAACCAGATAATAAAAGGCATATATAGAGAGGAGCAAAGGTAAGGATGATAGCAGATTTTTCATCAGAAACAAGCAAGAAGACAGTGGGACTGAAAGTACTGAAAGAATGTGGAGGGTAGAGGCGAGCTGCTGGTCTAGAATTCTATACAAAGTGAAAATATCTTTCAAATATGAGGGTGAAATAAAGACTCTTTTTGAACTAAAAAAAAAAAAAAGCTGAAAATTATATCACCAGCACACACACATTATAAGAAATGTTTAAAAAAAGTTCTTTAGTCAAAAGGAAAATTATACCAGATGGAAATATGGAATTATACAAGGGAACGTAGAACACTAGAAATGGTAACAATGTGGATAAATACATTGTTTTTTATCATTTAAATATCTTAAAATGCAATTGACTTTAAACAAAAATATTCATAATCTAATATGAAATTTATAACATGTAAAAGCAAAATATATGACAACAATAGTGCAATGGCTGGAAAAGGAGAAATCAAAGTATACTATTGTGAGATTCTCACACAATCCATGAAGTAATATGTTACTAGCAGATAGACTGCACTAAGTTAAAGATGTATACCATAAACCCTAAAGCAAACACAAAAATAGAAAGACAAAGAGTTATAGTTAGTTAATAAGCTAGAAAAGGATATAAAATTAAATTTTAAAAAATACTCAATCCAAAAGAGGACAGAACAAGAAAAAAATATATATATGAGATGGACCAAATAGAAAATGCATAGCAAGATAAATTTAAAGCTAATCAATCAACAATCAAATTAAATGTAAATGATCTAAACCAGGAGTCAGCAAACTTTTTCTATAAAGGACCAGATAGTGAATATTTTTGGTTTGTGGGACATATGGTCTCTTTTGCAACCACTCAACTCTGCTATTGTAAGCTAAAAGCAGCCATAGACAATGTGAATGGACATGGCCAAATATAGCCTGTGGGCCACAGTTTGCCAAGCCCTGATCCAAATATTCCTATTAAAAGACAAAGATTGTCATGTTGGGTAAAAATGTAAGACTTTTACTATATATGGCCTACAAGAAATGCACTTTAATATAAAGAAATATCTTAACAAATAAGTTAAAAGTAAAAGATCTAAAAGATATGCTAACACAAATTAAAAGAAAGCCAGAATAGCTATATTACTATCAAAGTAGATTTGAGAGCAAAGAAATCAAAATATAGTTGACCCTTGAACAACACGGATTTGAATTGCGTGGATTCTCGTACATGCAGATAAATATTCTAAATATATTTTTATTCCTTATGATTTCCTTAATAAAATTTTACTTTCTCTAGCTTACTTTATTGTAAGAATATAGTATATAATACATATTATGTACAAAATAGGTGTTAATCAACTGTTAGTAAAGCCTCTGGTCAACAATAGGCTATTAGTAGTTAAGTTTTGGGGCAGTCAAAAGTTATACACAGATTTTTGACTGTGAGGAGAAGGTCAGTACCCCAAACCCCCACATTGTTCAAGAGTCAACTTTATTTAGAATATTACCGGAGATAAAGAAGCTTATTTACTGATAAAGGGATCAGTTCACCAAGAGGACATGATAATCATTCCAAATGTTTATTCACCTAATAATAGACCTTAAAAATTAAGTAAAAACTGATAAAACTGATAAAAGGAGAAATAGACAAGTCCATAATTAGAGTCAGAGATGTCAATAGCCTTCTCTTAATAATTGATAGAAAATATCTAGAAAATCAGTAATGATATATACTGTGGAAAATAGTATAATTTATTTTTAAGATGTATATTGAAAAACACGAAAGTAGCCCACCCTTCGTGGTTTTGCTTTCTGTGGTTTCAGTTACCCGGGGTCAACCTCCTTCCAAAAATATTAAAAGGAAAATTCCAGAAATAAATCATTCATAAACTTTAAATTACATGCCGTTCTGTATAGTATGATGATCTCAAGCCATCCCACTTCATCCAGCCTAGAATGCAAATTGTTCCTCTATCCAGTATATCCATGCTATATATTCTACTTACCCGTTAGTTATCTAGTAGCCCTCTTAGTTATCTGATTGACTGTCTTGGTATCACAATGCTTATGTTCAAGTAGCCCTTATTTTACTTAATAGTGGAAAATAATTAGTGAAAAGACAATATTTTGCACATCAGTATTAGACACATTATAAAATACTAATTATGCATTTCAGCAATAAAAGGAATTTGAAAAAACAGCATACTTAGAATGCTCTGAAGATATCGAGAATTCACCAGGGAGGGAGGGTTTGAGCTAGAAATGGATATGGATAAATAAAAAGCAAAAAGAATTAAAACTTAGAATATATACACAGATAATTTATTTTACTTTGTGTAACTCTGGAGCTCATATGTTATTTTTGCCCTTTTTTTAGAAATCAGAATTCCCTTATTATCAGAATTACTATTAATTATTGTATAAAGCAGTCTGTATTTTCTATGTGTATCATCAACTCATTTATTTCGCATAAACATAGTCCTACCATCTAAGATATTTTAAACAATTCCTATCAACATGTGAAAAACATAAACATGCCAATTCCACACTGGGTCTGGTCTTCTACATGCATTGTATTTAATTTAAAGGGCTTCTGAAAAACCTTCTTAGCAAACTTTCTGTTTCCTAATACCCTAGTTTCAGTGTTTCCTTGAGAAATTCAGGTTGACCTCTCCCCTTCTCCTCTTATAGTAATGAATCACAGAGTCATAGTAAGTCAGGTTTGACAGTTTTTCTCTCAAGTTATCTGGCATTCACGCTCTCTTAGAATGTATAATCAATAATCAATGTAAATCTAGAGCCAGCCTGACTCTCATCTCACTAGATGAACCCCCAGGGCTGAATGACTCCAGGACTCATAGATTTATTCTCTCTTGCTGTAGTAGGCAGAGCCGAAACCAATGGTTAGAAACCACGGGGAGAGAGATGTTGGCTTAGCTAAAGGAGAAACTGCCTAATGCTTAGTGCTGCCTGAAAATGGGAATGGCTGCTGGGGAAGGAGTGAGTTACAGTTTCTGGTGGTGTCGAGGCACAGAGTGGACAATCATTTGGTGCAGATTTCATGGTAGAGACTAAAGGGTCAGAGCACAGAAGTCATTTCCACTGACTATTGAATCCCTGGTCTTGCTAGATCCTTATGCAGATGTTTTGTTTCATTTAATCATAACAACCCCCAAGGGAACTAGTTATAACCCATCAAGAGAGATTACAGTCACAATTTAAGATCACATGACTAGAAAGTAGCAGAGCCGGGATTTAAACTCCACTTCATCTGAATCCAAAGTCCTTGTTTATATTGTCCACATTTCATGGAAGCTTGAGAAATTGAACCAGGGATTTCTAATGTCCCTTCCTGCACTGTGATTCTATATGAGTCAAAATATGGATATAGGCATCACTGACCTATGTTTTCCTTAATCAACTTTCTGGACTCAATCACATTGAAATGATCATCTGTGACTCCAAATCTCTCTATGGTCTCCATCAAGAATGGACCATTAAAAACTCAACATTTGTATTTTGTATCCCCTCTGAGTTTACAGTAGAACTTAGTCTAAAGGCCTCACAATTTTTTTTCTAATAGGGTTGCTGTCAAGGACTGAGTTTATGGTATGAATGTATAGAGGACAAAGCTTTTAGTATTTCTCAAAACTGTAATAATATATTGTCCTAATTTCTCTACTCATTTTACAAGTCTTAGAAGGTCTTAGAAGATCTTGAAATATTTGACCCAAAGTCATTTTTTTCTGGCCTAATTCTGAGTCAGATTTTGTTTTAAATACAAGAATTTAAAAATTAGATTAATTTTAAAAATTAACATTAGAATTTCAAAAATACTAGTCTGAAAATAAGCCTTATTTACTTATTTTAAGGTAAAATGGCTTTACATGTGTTTTAAATGCTATTTTCTAGATTGAAGCCGAACTCACCAAGGAAAGAGCCCAACATTTAGCTGAATTTGAGGAGCAAGTTCTTCTCTTTAAAGAAGAAGCTAAACTGGAACTTGATATAGAAAAGGAAAAACACCAAGAAATAATCCAAAAATATAAGAAAGAACAAGAGGAACTGCAAATGAAGGTCAGTCATTATGATTTTCATTATTATTTAACGAATTTAAAACTGTAGATGTTGGTTATTTCCTCCTAAGAACACTATCGTATTTATAACTCTGGTAGCTTTCCTCGTGGTGGCTATGCCTTCATTTTAGCCACATAGGTAGGATGGTTTGGATACTCTCCAGAATGAATAACTGAGATAAATTATAAAAGCATACAGTCTAGCCATGTATGGAATTTTCTCTATTCAAATAAGTTTATTTTTAAAACAGCATAAATTATATAACTAATAATTAGCATGGTTAGATATTCCAACACATCAAATGTCCAACATCAAAAGATAATGAGATGTTTTACATAACTAAAAATTTTCCAACAACTGAAACTTGTCTCCTTTAATTAAAAATATTTTCAATTCTAAATATTTTTTAATGAAGGAAAATATATTTTAAAATGTAACCACCTCCATAATTTTTGAAACAATGTGTCCTAAACATAATTTAAGGTTTTGTTAAGGTTCTCCTGTTTTTATAAGACCTGAGTATAGTATACATACATGGCTTTGTGAATATATGTATATGCATGTGTGAATATATGTGTATATTAAGCAAGATACAGTAGAAACCATATTTTGAATAAATTCATTAGCAGTCTGTGTAAATTAAGCATCAGACGAGACTTAAGGGCTCTGTCTGGTGTACAGGGGAGGTGGTATAGCCCTCCCAACAGTTCACTGTGAACAATATGCAGGGCCAGCTACATGAGTGTGTGACAAGTGCAGTATCCAGGGCTCAACACTCAGAAAGTGCTCATGCTTTGGGTTTAATGCTCTGCAAATGCTGTTTTGAAGTTTTAATTGATAATTTTATCTTTCAAATTATGTTTTGTAAGTGAAATCCTATTGGGACAGTGGAGCACGTGCTGGGACCTTGGAGCCTCAGCTCACCCAAGGCTCCACGTCCCCTAGACAGATTCTCCCCTAGATGGGCCTCTCGCTCCCTAGGCCCACCCCCAGCCGAGCCCTGGATCCCTTTGGTGCCCCTTCTGTCCTCTCCTTCACCTCCGGACTGCTGTAGTTCTAGATGTCTCAGGGCCCAATCGGCAGGCAAATGCCAAAAGGCAGACCCCAACTTGCCATGGGTTACAGTTTTACAAATGAAGTCCTAAGTCAAAAAAATCAAAATTCTGTTGATTTTTAAAAAATCAAAACATATTTGTGGCTCTTTGAGCCTCTTCTCCCAAGGATAGCCTACTCCGTTTCAGTGTCACCTCACTTTAGGATCATGGAAACTACTGTCTGGAACCAGCAGTGACCCTCTTCCTCCCTGGATTAATTGAAGATAATGACATATTAATTTAATTTATAAAATTACTAAGTGTGGTGAATATATTTCTAATAAAAATTACTCTTAATACAAATTTAACATTTGGAACAAATTTTAGATACTTTATTCTTAAGTAATAGCTCACAAAATCCTTGGAACTTTGGTCTCTGAATGTTTTCCAGATTCTCCATGGGCTGATTTCTTGTTATACGAATGTTTATTATATGACAATATCCGTAGCATAAATAATAAGGGTATGTTTCATCAGAAGCAGCTTTGCTCTTCCTGTTTTGTTTTCTGTTCTTTGTTTTGTTTTTTTAAGGAGAGAGAAAATAAGCAATCTTTTCCCTTCTAAAGACGTTCACGACTATGAGAAAAATGTTCCCCAAGTTATTTTCTCATCTCTTTATCTAGAGATACCACCTTGAGAAACAGTATATTTTAAAGTATTCTGGTATTCTCTAGAACTGCACTAATATGGTTGCCACATGCGACTACTTAAATTTCAATTAATTAAAATTAAATAAAATTAAAAATTTAGTTTTCAGTCACATTAGCCACATTTCAATGCTCATTAGCCAATACTGGCAAACGAGAGCCTGTTTCACACATTTCTTCCCAACTCAGTGATCAGTGATGTCACCCACCTTGGTAGCTTGGAATTGTGAGAGTATTTACTCTGTGGAAATCAGATACAAATGATGAGAGTATTTACTCTGTGGAAATCAGATACAAATCTGGCTTGTGTGTGTTTGTGAGTCAGTTGTTAAACATTTACCAGCACACCATCATCAATAGCCACATGTAGCTAATGGCTACCATGTTGGACATTCAAGAATATTTTTATCATCAAAGTTCTATTGGGCAGTGCTGTTCTAGAAGGTGTAGTATGTTAGATACCTTCAGTCATCATATACAAGAAAGAAAAAAAATCTCAAAGAAAAACTCATTGGTATAGTATGAGTAAAATATAATTGCAGTATTCCCCTAAGTGCATCCCCAAGCATCAGGCATTTCTAGCTCCCAAAGCTACCCTATAGTGAGTCCAGACAGCACCTGATCATAACTTGAGCTATTCTTGATAGCTCAGTCCAGTTACAGAGGTTTATATATTTCTAAGGATGCTCAAGTAATTAATGCAATTCCATTTAAGGTGGTAAAAATAAAAGTTTTAGTCTTAACTTTTAAAAAGAAAATCTTGAAGGACTGCATATGTCATAGGCTTTGTTTTCATTTGATCAGAACAGTATACTGATTATTTAGAATAAGCCTCTTAAAACCATGAGAACTCTGTAGATACCTAGAGATAGCGCCTAAAAACTAATACAAGATTTATCTTACAGATATCTGACTTAATCTCAGGTGCTACTAGAGATCTAAAGCTGGAAGTTGCCAATCTTGAAAAAAAACTCCACGAATCCCGGGTCCAGTATACCGAAGAATCTGAGTCAAAGGAGAAGGAAATTGAAAACCTTAAAAATTTGGTTGCAGAATTCGAATCTCACTTGAAAAAGGAAATTGACAATAGTGATTCTGTTTCAGAAGACTTGAGGAAGGAAATAAAACAGAAGTCAGATGAACTGGAAAAAGTAATGCTGGCACAAACACAGCTGATACAGCAATTTAACCAGTCCCAGGAAGAGGTAAGAAGCAGACGGTGGCACCTTTGCAATTAGTGAAAGAGCACATGTTCTTTCAAAAAAAAAAAAATAAACAAACAAACAAAAACATGAAAGGCAGCTTGGTGTCATGCACAGTCCTGGACTGTTAGTCAGGGACCTGGGATCACATCCTGGTTTTGTCCTTGACTAGGCAGTCACTTAACCTTTCTGGACCTGGCTTCCTTTTCTGTAAAATGAATACATTGAACTACATAATATCTAAGATTTTCTTGGCGCCCAGTTTTACTGTGTTGCAAATGACTATTTAAAACCTCTAAGATTAGTAATCGTTATATATTTGTGTCTTATTTGTTTTGTATTAAATTTTTGCCAGAAAACTTTTAGAGCGCTTGTTGCTTAAGTTCAAATAACATGTGGACGATGTATCTTAAATGTAATTTTCTTTAGGATTTGTCTTTCTGTCAACCTAAACTTCTAAGGTAATTTACATGTATTGGTCTTTTCTTCTGTATGCATGAGTATTTATTTCAGCAGTGTTCTTATTTACACCGAAGTAGACATATTTTAATTTGAATTTTTTTTCTAACAGTCTCATTTCTGAACTACTAAGCCGTTTAGAAACGGTGGATGCTATAGATTAAATGTTTGTGTCCCCTAAAAGTTCATATGTTGAAACATAATTCCCAATGTGGAGGTACAGAGTTTGAGAGATATTTAAATCACGAAGGTAGAGCCCTCATGAATGGGATTAGTGCCCTTATAAAAGAGAACCCAGAGAGCTCCCTCATGTGAGGACACAGAGGGAGGACATCTGTGAAACAGGAGGCAGGTCCTCACCGGACACCAAATCTGTTGGCACCTTGATCATGGACTTTCCAGCCTCCAGAACTATAAGAAATAAATTATTTGTTATTTGAGCTACCCAATCTATGGTACTTTGTTATAGAAACCTGAACTGACTAAGGCAGTAGAGCAATTAGCCTGTTCTCTAATCACCAAAGTTATATCACATTAGAATATTTGAGCAGTGTAGCAAATAAAGGCAAATGGAAGAAGATTCTAAATGTCAATGACAAGTAATATTTTCGTTGGTTTTACTGGCATCTTAATGAATGAATAAAAGGAAAGTGCTAATAATAATATTAACAATGAAATATACCATGTTCTTGCGATATTTAAATTATCAGCCAAAACAAGAAGTTGATGCCATCAGTATAATTATGAAGTGAACCTATTGCAAAGGAGTTATAAATATAAGTTAAAATGGGGAATGGACAGAATACTGGATCAGGAACAATGTTTAAACAACGTTATAAAGTAGAAATTATTTCCACGTTACAGATGAGAAACTGACTCAAGAAGGTTGAATAACTTCCACAAGGTCACACACAGCATGGTGGAGCCAAGATTCAAATTTGAATTTCCATGATATGTTGTTTCCTCTCTCAGGAAGCGTGAGTTCTAGTGATTCCACTTCTAAATTTCAAAGTGACCCTCAGTCTTAGCATTCATCTTCAGACCTCCTTTTTTTTTTTTTTTTAACTTTTAAAATGACAATAAACACACTACTTAATTTGCCGATGGTTAGGGAGTCATAGACGATTTAGTGTCCCCTGTTGAAACACAGCAGCACAGCTTTCCTGATCAGGGGGCTGCTTCCAGTCCAGGCAGGAGTGGGAAGGCAGAGTTCACATGGACTCAACTCTGCTGGAGAAACCCTGAGAAAGAGAGAGGGCATGCCGATTTGCTTCAAATGAGACAGCAGCATTGAAGTTCTAGAGGAGGGACAGCAGGTTAAAGGAGAGAACATTCAAGGCGACTAGACCAGTAAGTTTTCTAACTCTTAAATCTCAAAAGAAATGGCAACATGGAAAGTGAGGAATAATGTATAAACTAGGATAAGTAGAAAAAAGACAGAAAGATCAAATCCAGTAAGTATATATTGAGTTTCTATCCAGGTGCCAGGCCCTGTGCTGGGCACTTGATATGTAATTACGAAGAAGACTGATAACTGCCATTGCCTGCTCTCAAAGAGAAATTTAAAGAAAGTCTTAAATGAGTAATTAAATTGACATCAAGATGAAAGAATGACCTAAACAGAAACTTTATATAAAAAGCATAGACTAAAATTTTAAAAATTAGTCTTAAGAGCCTATATTAGTTTTCCATCATTGCACAATAAATTATTCTCAAATTCAGTGGCTACAAACAACAAATATTTATTATCTCATAATTTCTGTGGGTCAGTGACCTGACTGTGGCTTAGCTGGGTACCTCTGGCTCAAAGCCTCTCATGAGGTTAGTGTTAGATTGTCAGGGACTGCAGCCTTATCCAAAGGCTCAACTGGGGAAGTACTGACTCCCAGGCTCACTTTGTGGTTATTAGCAGGATTTATTTCCTCATGGACTTTTGGGCTGAGAGCCTCAACGCCTTTCAGGCTATTGATCAGAGGCCTCCCTTATAACACTGACTTCTCCATAGAACCTTACCACGTGGCAGCTGGCTTCCCTCAGAGCAAGCACGTGAGCAAGAATGAGAGCGCAAAAGGGGGTGCCCAAGATAGAAGCCAAGTCTTTTTGTAACCTAATCTCAGAAGTGACATCCCATTACTTCTGCTGAATTCCGTGAGTCAAAAAGTCCATCCCACAGTCAAAGCAAAGGGATTACACAAGTGTCAACAGCAGGAGGGCAGGGATAACAGGGCCATTTTAGGGCTACCAATCTCAGGGCCTCTGGAGGAAATTTTGGCAAGAGAAATTAGACTAAAAGTAAAGAGCGAATATCTTTTTCAGACAGAAGAGCTTAATTTGGAGCAGTTCCTGCTCATTAATTGTAAAAGAAAGCCATTTAGAGATGAAGTTTTATTATTATTATTTTTTTAATGTGGACTTTTGAAAGATACAAGACACTGCGATGGTATGTAAATGATTATGAATCATTACTGGGAGTAGAAGGGGATTGTCCCACAGGGAAAGTTACCTAAGGACATGCCAGGGGGCAGATTTCCTTTTGCTGGGGTGGAGGGAGGGGAGGGGAGGCTAGATTTTCTATTAAAAGTTAAATAATTACAACTGAACTGTAATAGTAAATAATTAAGGCTGCTTCTTAGTTAGGCATACAAAGTCCAGAAATTCTTATAAAAATAGGAAATGAGCCAATAAAAGTGATAGGAGTTATGAGCCAGAAAGAATAGAGGTTGTAGCATGTAAAATGAAAAGCACTACTATTTAGACCATGCATTCCAGACACTTGAAATTCCTCAGGTTCTGGAGAGGGGAAAAAAAAAAAAAAAGCCACATTTAAGTGGAGAACAAATTCCCATTAAAATGAAGACAAATTAATGGTCTAATAAGGAAGCTAATTAAGGAGAGGAAAGCTGTGTTCTTGTTCAAGAGGCCAGAGAATGGAAGGACTTTGTTTTCTTTGTATAATGAAAGTTCTCAAGGAGAGGAGGAAAGCCCACAGCCTCTC